TCGTATATATATATATTATTCATACGCTCTTGGGTTTTGTATGGTTAGGCATCATGCAAGTCCACGTGACACTCAACAAAGTCGAGTTCTTTGACAGTTTGGGCTACACCGTTCTTCGGGATTTTGTTCTTAATGGAATTCGCCCTCGATGTCTTGTAATTAGCAGGTACCACCGCATCTGACTAATATTTTTCATATAAATATATATATATATATAGTCCATTTCAGCAAAACTGGGACTTTTGTGCTGAGTTCGCCAAATCTCCATCGATCGATTTGTTATACTGACATTTGTATGTGAACAGTCATTAAAGGCCCACAAGAATTCAAAGTAGATTGGGAAGAAGAAAGGATTTGATTGGCCACTTGAGTTGTGTTGTGGGTTTTGATTGGTCAGTCGATTGTTATTGCAATTTGCTCCACGTTTTCGAATCAATTGGACAAGTCCTAATACTTACTATGTACTATTAATAGTACTCAAAACACTGAAGTGGTGCTCCGCGGCGACTACTTTCTCGAAACCGGCGAGATCATCGTCCAGCTCCAGCAACACGTACTACTTAGTTGTCATTCCTTACTAAGTACTACTAGTATCTACTAACCGTCTAGTACTTTACTACAGGACCCAACTAGTAGACACAAGCAGCCGCTGCCACTCGTCAACGTGAACGGCATCTGCTCGTCCCCGACCGAGATCACAGCGGCGATTCCTCCGAACACTCGATATGGACTCACACTATTTGCAGTCTCCGTCAACCACGGCGAGCATTTCTGTCCACAAGTTATCCAGGGACTACTCATCCGCGACCGACCGCCGCAAGCGCTAGTGCCTACGGAGGGCTCCAGCACTGGCGGCACTCGTATTCGTACGTATTTCCCTTTCTAATATATATATATATATATAGGATCACTTGAATATATATTATAGAGATTCTCGTGCCCGTGCTGGACGACGACGCGGCCGATTCGTTTCAACTGTTGCGATCGGCGTTGAAACTTACCAAGGTAATAAAAAATATTAATAAAAACAATATCCCAATTTTTGAAAATTAATATTTCGAACAACCAAACTAATTCAAACAATTTGGTTGTCATGTATATTTGATAGTCTAGATCAATCTTTATTCTCCGTTATGGCCAACGTTCAGAATCAAAAGTCTCTTGAACGTCTTTATAATGTTTTGGCAAAAAAACACGATATATATTGGTAAAATATATTGTATTCTCCACATTTTGGATCCAGACAGATATTTTGGCGTGTTCTCCATTCTCTCACCGTACAGCTCAATGTCATAAAAACACTAAAAATCATGCAATATATCATAGGCAATTCGAGTCAAATTTGAGCCTGAAAACCCCTCTGTCGCAGCCCAAATCGTGTTTGCCGAGCCAGATATGACCCAGAGCGGCGTGATCGTCGTCATATCTCCGCGATTTGCCACTGACCAGTCGTTATTTGTGGTGTTTGTGTCCATTTCCGTGGATGGCGGCGCAAAATTTGCAGGAAAGCTGCCATTCACATACTATGGGCAGTATAAAGTGCAGTCCCTGTCCATCCATCACGGCCCGTCCACTGGAGGCACGCGCATTCGCATACAAATGAACCACCCCGTGCCCCAAACCCTTCCCATTACTGTGAAATTCAAAGGAGCAGCCAGGTTTGAGTCAGTCGTGGGCCAAATTGTATGGGAAAACCCTTCCGTGATAGTGTGCACTTCCCCGCCGTGGAAGTCGATTGAATCTGTCCAACTGACCAAAGTACAAGTGAGTTTGAACCACGGCGTCGAGTATATTCCACCAGATGACCCAAGCTCCAACGCCGCCAAGTTTCGGGTACGTGTTATATATTAACTACTACTATACTGCATTTATTTTTGATCAAAATTATATATATATATATATATATATATATGGGTTGGATCATGCGTCAGGAAAATATTAGTATGCAAAAATGTAAAATGTAGTTTCATTTCTTCCTTGCTGAAATCAATACATCTTTTTCTTGTTTTGATCGAGTGTATATATATGTATATTCTAGTAATAGTAAAATACATCTTTTCCTTGATTTGATCGAGTGTATATATATATATATATATTCTAGTATGCTATTATTCAACGCTGCACTTTCGAATATTTTTCAGAAAGGTCTTTATCTTTTGATAAGTTTATACAAATGATCGAGTTTGTTTCGTTTCGAAGTGAGAGTAGAAGATAGATAGATATATGTGTGCTTTTCGAGTATCTATCTATGCATGTATACCATCACGTATTGAACAATATATATATAAATACTAGTATACAACACTTTTATTTCTCAGATTAATATATCTATTTGATCGAGTATATATATATGTTTGTTGTGTCTATCTATACATGTATATTATTAGTTCACATTCACTTGTTCAACAATATTTTATATATACATACATTCGTAATATATATGTATATTTGAACCCATATATATATATACATATATAGTGTCATACTATACACGTATATGATTGGTTCACACCACCACGATCACTTGTTCACCAATATAATTGAAATATATATATATATATATA